AACTGAACAACAACAAAATACTAAAAGTAATGAACACAGAACATTGAGAGTAATCATAAATAATGAAATTCCACTGACAGGGAGAGGCAGCATTGAATGGTATTCAGAAAGCTAGAATTGGAGCCATGAAGACTTGGGTTTGATTCTTGCTTCATATACCTTTAGAAGTGTGATTTTGGGAAAATCACCCTGTCTCTGCTTCAATATCTTCATGTGTAAAATAGGGATAATGATAACAATTCCTTCAAAAGGATGATGGAAGGTTCAAAGTATACTGTATACAAAGTGCTTTGCAAAACCTTCAATTATTATATCAATTAATCAATAAGTATTTATTAGGTACCTACTAAATGTCAGACACATGGACACTTTGTATTGGAAATACAAAGACAAAAATGAAATAATCCCTGCCATCATAGAGCTTATCTTCTATCAGAGGAAATTATAGATAGAAGATAAATAGAATATGTATATATATATTTGTGTGTATGCATACTTACAGATATACATACATAATTACTGCATAGTAAGCACTTAATTCATGCTTGTTGAAATGAATTAAGTTATCTTATTTTCCATCAAGTTGAAAGGTCTGCATAATTTTATAGCTGAGCAATGTTTCTTTTTCTTTAAAATAATTTTCAAATAACGCCAATACACCTTTTCTTCCCAAATCTTAAAGTTATACAACAACTTCTAAATAGTTTAAAGAACAAACATTTTGAAGTGTCAAAATAATAACAAAAATAGGGAAACCGGGATCTATGGGAGGGGGACAAGAGGAATATACAGGAAAAGACACATAAAAAAATCCGAGAAATGAGTCCCTGCTGATAGGCAAACACAATAGAGGTTCCTACTTTGCAAAAGATTATAAGAATAAGTAAGGGTACTGGTAAGAATGCTTCAAGGAAATCTTGTATGGTCATATGGTAAACCTTCTTCTTAGATCAAGTAAATGGTCTACCATCTGTCTCTTATCTCTGTTTCATTGTATTACTCATTAACATTTCATTTTGCTCACAAAAAAATTGGGTGAAAAGATGAAACCTTGGGGGCTGTAGCTTCCTAAGTAGACTGATAGCCTCGGGTCCTTCATTTAGTCATTCAATAAGAAACAATCATTTATTAAGTGCCTATTGTATGCCAGGTGCTGTGCTGGATAGTGGGATATATAGACAACAATGAACCAACACTGTTCTCAAAGAGTTTACATTTTATTGGGAGTTTGCGTATGTGTAAATAAAAAGTGGATTCAAATTAAATCTATAAAGTGATATGGGAGAGGGGGCACCAGCATTGGGGAGAATAGCAGCAAGTCTCATTAAGGAAGCAGCAATTCAGTGAACCCTTAAAAAAAGTAAGGACTTTACAAGGTGGATGGAGGTGAGGAGAAAGTATCCTGCAGTCTTCACTAGGAAAGGGAGGAAATCCTGTTCAAAGGCATGAGGGTGGTATGCCATGTACAGAGAATAGCAAATGATTCAGTTTGACTGGGACATGGAGTATAAGAAAAGATGCAACATTCAATAAGCCTGGAAAGGAAGCTGAAACCAGATTGTGAAGGGTTTTAAATGCCAGAAAAATTTGTATTTTGTCATAAAGGCAATAGAGAGCCAGTGGAGCTCCTTGGGAAGGGAAGTGACATATTCAGAGCTATATTTTAGAAATTCTACTTCAGCAACTGTATGGATGGATGTAGAAGGAAGATAGTTGAGGCAGTGAGATTTATTAGAAGGTTATTGAAATAGTCAAGGTGAGAAGTAATTATGACCTGAAGAAGGGCCATGGCCATATCAGTGGAAAGAAAAGGACAGCTAAAAGACACGAACTGGAAGTAAAATTGGCAGGCCTTCACAATTGATTGCATATGAAGAGTGAGGGAGACTGAAGTGTTAAGGATGACCCTGAAATTGCAAACTTAGACAACTGGAAGCATGCTGATTTTCTTCATAAAAATTTCAAAGTGAGGAAGAGGAGAGAGTTTAGAAAGAAAGAGTAATTTTGTTTTATACATTCTAAGTCTGAGATGCTAAGAGATATCTAGCTAAAAAATAGCCAGTGGCAGTTGGTGATGGAGGGTGAACTGGGATTCATCAGTAAAGTGATGATAATTGAACCCATCTGAGCTGATGAGATTTTCAAGATGAAAAGTTGAATGACCAAGAGAGAGAAGTTTATGACAGAGTTTTAGGGTGTAACTAAAGTTAGATGATTGGATGCAAATGATGATCTAGCAAAGGACCACCTAAAAGGAAGGTGATCTAGGAGAGAACAATGTCACAAAAAACCATGGAAGATAGATTGTTTAGAAGAAGGGGATGGTCATCAGTTAAATGTTGCAGAGAAGTCGTATGCCTTCCCAAAACATATTCAACTGCTCCAAAGAAAATACAGCTTGTGGCTATAAAATGACCTTTTTGAAGATGGGAGAGTTGTTGATTCCATGCAAAAATATTTAGCTATATATGGTCCTTGATGTCTATGAGTATTAAAAGTATTATATACCTACAAAATTTGTTAATAAAACATAAAATTATCAGGCAAAGCAAAAGAGGTACTAGCTGCTTTTAAATTATAGAAAGAGATCCCGAATGAGGAAATGCAAAAAATATGTGATCAGATACCAACAAAAAGTATAAGACAGTGGGTCCAAAAAGGTATTTGAGAACTGTGATACTGGAAGAGACATAGCTGCCAAAAATAAGGTTATAGTCCTGCTGGATTCTTTCCTAGTCAGATCATATATAGATTATTGTGTTAAGTTCTGAGCATCAAATTTTAGGAAATAAGTTAATAAGACGGAGAGTATACAGAGGAAGAATGGCACATAACCTTGAAATTATGACATATCAATGGAAGAAATTGTAGGTGTATCAAGTGAAGAAAAGGCTCAAAGATGATATAATAGCTGTTCTTAATTACTTCGTAGGTAGATCATCATGTCAAAGTGATTAGATTTGTTTGACCCCAGAGGGCAAAACTAGGAGCAATGTACAGAAGGTACTGAACACCAATTTAGGTCTGATGTACAGGAAAATTCCCTAATAACACCATTCCAAAGTGGAATGGGCTGTCTCAGGAGCTGATGGGTTCCCCTTCACTATAGGTCTTCAAGTAAATACTAAATGACTATTTGGTGGATACATTTTAGTGGTGATTTTTTTAGGGGGCATGGGTTGGACTAGATGACTGCTAAGGTACCTTTCATCATTGAAATTCTGTGATTTTTCTGTTCTGTAACTCCAAATCCAGTAACAGTTTTTGCCTTCATTTACTAAAGTAAATCAAATTCAGGAAGATAGAGAATCCCTGGAACTGCTTGACAATCACAATGCAGAATGTATGCGGAAGAACCAAAGGAATATTATAGACAGTGATTGGATTTGTTCTTACTTACAAGAGTGTTAGGGAGATTCCCATTCTCGAATTGCCTTTTGAAATGCACAGGTTAGACAGATAGATAGATAGATAGATAGATATAGATAGATGTGTGTATGTATATATGTATGTATGTATATACATATATATCAAGGAGTGGTCAATGCACAGGACTTCCTAGATCTAATTAAAAAACTAGATATAGATAAGTCACTAGGAATGGATAGTGTCTACCTAAAAGTTCTGAAAGAACATTGTTAAAATTGTGATGGGGCAACAAAATGCACAACCTGACAGTATAAGTGACCAATGCATGCTGGAGTACTTGTGGATTCTAGCAGTAATAATCCTGCCGTAACAAATATTCCAAAGGAGATTCTTGGAGTTATTGATTAGTGACTCTCACTTCCATGCCAGATACTATAATAAAGAGTAGGTTCACTGATATCTAACTTAAGAAAAGAAAGCTTCTATAACAGGAAACTATACCTGATTAATCTATTAGTTTTTCAACAGTATAAATACTTTATTACTCCAATTAGTCCAAGATCTAATTGTTGTGGACACTCCCCCTAATAATATAGATCCATACACGTGGGCCTAATCTGTGTAGATTCTTAAATATGTTCTCTCACAAATCCACAAAAGGAGTTTATCCAATTCTTTATTTTGTTGTTGTTGTTTTGTTATTTCTGTCTTGAGACTGAGTCTTCCTATCTTGTCAGAGCTGTGGCCACTCACAGGCCCATCCCCACTACTAAAAGGCAAGGAAGATTTTGGCTGGCCCCTTTTTGATCTGAGCTGCTCCCACCCTCCTTAGGTAGTTTGGTGATCCCCTGCTCCTAGGAGTTCATTATCTTGGTGCCTGACTTAGATAGGATGCCAGATTAACTTTAGCCCTACTGTAGTTCAGAACTCCTGAATTCAAGTAACCCACCAGCCTCAGGTTCCCCAGTAGCAAGGATCAGGCCATGAGCCACAACACCCAGTTTTTCAATCCTTTAACAGAAAAACTTTTAACAACACTCCTTGTCAAGTATTAGTTTTAAAAGATAAATTAACAAGGTATTAGAACACTTGTGTTGTTACAAATAAAAAAGAAAGGGTAGGGATAAATATACATTTTCTTGAAATGAATTCACAAATAGTGGGAATCACCAATGATTCAAATGAAGAGGTAGTAGTGAAATGGACGGGCCGAGAGTAACCAGACACACGCCAAATTAGAAAATAGAGAGCATTTACTGGAGCCGGCCGGCGACTGTCCCCTGGATGCAATCCTAGGAGAGCAGTCCCAAGCAAGGGAAATAACAAAACTTTATACCCAGCAGTTTACAGTTGTGGATTTAGCAATCCTTTGAGGTAGGGGAATTTACAATTGTAGATTAGCGATCCTTTGAGGTAAAGGAATTTACAATTGTAGATTAGCGATCCTTTGAGGTAGAGGAATTTACAATTGTGGATTAGCGATCCTTTGAGGTAGAGCAGTTTACAATTGGGATTAGCGATCCTTTGAAGTAGAAACTGAGGAGGTTAGGCTAGGGGGTTGTTTTTTTTTTTTTTTTTTTTTTGTGACAACTCAGTCCACTTCACTCCCCCCTTTTCACGGACGAAAAGAGTCAGACGGGGGACTCATCAGAGTCCAGAGGAGCATAGGATTGACGCAGGACAAACAACTGGAGTGCTTGCACTCGTTTCTGGACATAGCGGGTGATGCATTTTATGAGACAAGGGGCCACGAGTAACCCAAGGAGGAGAATGGCCAGAGGGCCCACCACTCCGGAGAGTAGGGTGGTTAGCCAGGGGGACCAATTATATAGGGTCTGACACCAAAAAGACCCCGTTGCCCGTGCGCGGTCCCTCTCATCTAACCGCTGCCTAAAGGCTTGCAAGGACTCCCGAATAACTCCAGACCGATTGGCGTAGAAACAGCAGGTTTCTCCCAACGCCATGCATAAGCCTCCCTGTTTGAGGAACAGTAGGTCCAAGCCTCGGCGGTTCTGGAGAACCACTTCGGCCAGAGAGTCTAGGGAAGTCTCAAGGTGTGAGACTAGCTCTTCCAAGGAGCGTAGGTCCCTATCTACCTGTGCACTCAAGGCACCGTAGTTGGCTTTCCCCTGTATCAGGGCTGAGGCCCCAACAGCAGCGGAGCCGGCCACTCCGAGTCCCACCAGTATGGGAACCAAAAAGGGTACAGCCCTCCTGGAGCGAGTTAAGCCAATATGCTCAGCTGCCCCTTCCTCTGAGTAGACATATACCTGAGGAAAGACACGCACCACTACACAGAGCTCGGTCGGGTTGAGGAAACGAATGTCCTGTATGCAGGTGGTGAGTCCTCTGGTACAAGCGAACCATACTCCAGGTGGGGCGGTTAACAGGAGGTCAGAGCTTTTGGATGTGGGGGAAATAAGAATGACTGAAGTGCATGTAGCATTGAATGGGGAGGACCGCAGCGGGTAGTCAGGCCCGAGCAAACACATTCCTTTGCCCTGGACATCGTCTAGGGTAAGTCTAGGCTTGTCTGGGTTACAGCGGGCAGGTATGGCAGAGGATTGTTTGGACTTACTTAAAGACAACTTTCCCACAGAGGTGATGTTGAGTTCGATAGCAATTCCTACGAAATAGGGGGGAGCTGGATTCAGACACAGCCAACAGGAGGTGGTTATGTTTGGATCAGACAAATTTAGGAATGAGTGGACAGCAGAGAGTGTATCAAAAATGGGGGAACCTAGGTTAGTGAGGGTCTCTGGATTTTCGGGAGCCTCTGGTACCAGGTCCCTAACAGATGGTGGGGTGAGAGTCAACATGGCTTGTGGGTTAAGGATGGGATTCGGTCCTATGGGGAGTGTATGGGTGGAAACTGCGATTTTCTGAATGGTAAAAAGGACCCCGTTATCCCATCCAGTCATGTATAACCTCAGACCCCAAGAATGTCCGAGATTCCAAGAGTCATCAGTGTCCTGCTTGACTGTTAGAATCATAGGGTTACATTTCCCAGGCCAGCAGGAGGCGGGGAGGGGGCTTTGTCTCTCCAGGGTGATTAGGGGGTCTCGGCCACCTCTAGGAATCCACCTGGCCACAGTCTCACAACCCCATTCTGCGCAGTGAAAGTGATTACTACCCTGACAGGAAGGATTCCCCGTGGCCGGACAAACATAGAATTCAATACTTCTGATTCTCACTTCCCCTACCCCGGGTATGGTTGGAGTGGTGGGAAAAGTGGGGCAGTATCCCCATCCCCCAGCGATAGGGTCCCGCATAGCCCGGTTTTGATTCCATCCTGGTCCCAAGAGGGCACAGAGGTCAAACCTGAAAGTGGGGGCTCCGTAACTGGTGAGAGCTTGGACGGTGGTCCCATCGTTAGTTCGGGAGAGAATCCACCTGGATGGGGTAGGGCTATAGGGGTCACCCAAAGTCACCTCACAAGCAAAAAGAAAGAGAAGAAGAGTCAAGTTCTGGAGAGTCGAAGCTTTAGGTCGGACACTGCTTCTGCTGTCCAGGCGGTGGAGTTGGGCTCTGGGGCCTTCTTGATGTGTGACCGATGTATCCATGCCTTGCGGCTGGCAACCTTGACGGCAGAGGGGTTGCAGAGGATAATTTGATACGGGCCCGTCCACCGTGGTTCCAGGGCTGGTCCAGCTGGAAGCTTGCGAGTGAGGACCCAGTCTCCCGGTGACAGGGCGTCCGATGAGGTTGCAGGGGCTGGTTCTTTCCCCGCAGCTTTCAGGACCGAGCGCACAGCGTTCTGGACCTCACGCAAAGCCTGGAAGGACTTAAGAAGAGTCGGATTAGTAAAATCTGGGGCTGAAATAGCTGCAGATACTCTTGGAATAATAGGAGGAGGGGCTCCATAGAGGATCTCGTATGGAGATAAAGAGAGGGTTGAGGAATTGGGAGTACACCGGGCCCGGAGGAGGGCGAAGGGAAGGAGACTGACCCAGCTATCGCCAGTTTCTATTTTAAGTTTAGCAATGTGTTCCTTTAGAGTTCTATTCATCCTTTCTACCTGCCCTGAACTTTGAGGCCTATATGCACAGTGCAATTTCCATTTCAATCCCAGCATCTTTGATAGGCTTTGAATTGTTGAAGATACAAATGCTGGGCCGTTGTCAGAGCCTATCGAGGCCGGCAGGCCAAATCTAGGAATAAGTTCAAAGAACAGCTTTTTGGCCACTACGGTTGCAGTTTCAGTTTTGACTGGAAATGCTTCTGGCCATCCAGAAAATGTGTCCACGAATACAAGGAGAAAACGGTACCCTCCCAACCCAGTTCCCATGTCAGTAAAGTCTACTTCCCAATGGTCGCCAGGAAATGTTCCTCGTGGTCTATCAGTTGGTATCCTTGATTGTGATCGTGGGTTGACTTTGGCACATGCAAGGCACCTTCTTGCGGCTTCCTCGGCCACCTGCTTCATCCCAGGGCTGTAGAAGTGTCGGCTCACCAGGTCGTAAAGCCGGGTTCCGCCTAAGTGGGTAAGGCTATGAAGAGTCATCAATAGGGGTAGCAACAGTGCCTTGGGCAGAATTAGCAAGCCATTTGGGTGTCTTCTCCATCCCCCCTTTTCAGGGGTGCCATCCGGATCACTGGATTGATAAGATGGTTGGACAGGAAGCATCCCCTCAGGTTCCACGACCATAGCGGGTATCAAGGGTTTGCAGGCAGCCGCTCGGGCAGCCTTATCCGCTGCTGCGTTCCCTAGAGACTGGGGGTCAGTTCCACGGGTGTGAGCAGGAACATGAATTACCGCCACCTCCTTGGGAAGCCAGACAGCATCCAGCAGGTCCTGGATCTGACTCTTGTTCCTAATCTCCCTTCCCGCCGAGGTTAACAGACCCCTTTGGAGATATACATATCCATGGATATGAACAGTGGCAAAGGCATAGCGGCTATCTGTGTAAATATTTACTCGCCTCCCTGCAGAGAGTCTAAGGGCTTGAGTTAAGGCAATGAGTTCAGCACGTTGAGCAGATGTGCCAGGGGGTAGAGCGGTATCCCAGAGGGTCTCAACCGGAGTGACCACGGCTGCACCCGCCCTACGGATCCCCTCCTGAACAAAACTGCTGCCGTCTGTGAAGAGCACTAGGTCGGGGTTTGTTAAAGGAACATCAGTAAGTCCAGGGCGGGACGTGTGGATGGAGTCCAGTGTGTCCAGGCAGTCATGTATAGGGGAGGAAGGAGGGGAGTCAGGGAGCAGGGTGGCCGGGTTGAGTGTGACCGGAGGAGCGAAAGAGATGCGCGCGGAATCTAGGAGTAAGGATTGGTAATGAGTCAGGCGTGAATTTGAGATCCATCTTGTCGGCGGGGAATGTAAAAGCTGTTCCAGATGATGTGATGCTGAAATCTCAAGAGGCTGCCCGAAAGTGAGCTTTGCGGCTTCCCTAACCAAGACGGCAACGGCCGCCACAGTTCGCAGGCAAGAGGGCCACCCGGAAGCCACAGGGTCCAGCTGCTTGGAGAGATAGGCAACAGGACGATTCCAGGGCCCCAGGGGCTGGGTCAGAACCCCTTTGGCCACAGCTCGAGACTCAGACACATAGAGGCGGAAGGGCTTGGACAGGTCTGGCAGGGAGAGGGCAGGCGTGCTGGACAGCGCCTTTCGGAGCTTGTCGAATGCTTCCTGCTGCCGTGGTCCCCAAACAAATTGGGTGGGTTCACCAGTTAGGGCCTCATATAGGGGTTTGGCAACCTCGGCAAACCCCAAGATCCAGAGGCGACAGTATCCAGCCATCCCCAGGAATTCCCGGAGCCCGCGGCGGTCCCTCGGGGCGGGCATGCCCAAAATGGCAGCTACACGCCCCCGAGACAGTAACCTTTGACCAGAACGAAGGGTGAAACCCAAGTAAACAACGGATTGAGAGCACAGTTGTGCTTTCTTTCCAGAGATACGATAGCCGGAAGCTTCAAGCAGCTGGAGAAGGTGGAGAGTTGCATCTTTGCATATTGCCTCAGAGGAAGTAGCTAACAAAAGGTCATCAACATACTGGAGGAGAGTGACCTCCGGATACGAGACCCGGAAGGCGGCCAGGTCGGAGGCCAGAGCTGAGCCAAAAAGTGTAGGGGAGTTCTTAAAACCTTGGGGAAGCCGGGTCCAGGTGAGCTGAGAGGATGTCCCAGTGTTAGGATCTGTCCAAGTAAAAGCGAATATAGGTTGGCTTACTGGTGCCAAGGGAATGGAGAAGAAAGCATCCTTCAGGTCCAAAACAGTATACCAAGTCCGAGCAGGGTCCAGGGAAGATAGCAACGTGTATGGGTTTGGCACAGTAGGATGTACAGTTTCCACCCGGGCGTTGACTTCTCGTAGATCCTGGACAGGACGGAAGTCTCCAGACCCGGGCTTGCGAACTGGAAGTAGGGGGGTGTTCCACGAGCTCTGGCAGGGTCGTAGAATGCCTGCCGCCAAGAGTCGATCGATGTGAGGTTTGATGCCAAAAAGGGCAGCTCGAGTCAACGGGTATTGTTGGACACGCGCAGGGGTTGCTGTGGACGAGAGCTGGACCACCACTGGGGGCTGGTGTCCTGCTAGACCAAACGGGTTGGTCTCAGCCCAGACTCCAGGAACCAAGCCTTTGAAATGGTTCAACAGAGTTAGGGAGGTAGGGGTGGAGGTGGTCGAGGGGCGGTCTGGGGAAAACGTTAGGGGGAGGAGGCGAGACTCCTCTGACAACGGGCAGGTGAGAACAAGTTGTGGCAGGTTAAACCCGAGAGTGGGGTTAGGTCCCTTAAAGGAAATGATAGCCTGAAGCTTGTGTAGGAGATCTCGGCCAAGCAAGGGGTAAGGGCAATCAGGCATTACTAGAAAAGAATGGGAGACTAGGCCCTTCCCTAACCGGACTTCCCGAGAAGTGGTGAGGGGTACCGACTGTTTTCGTCCAGTAGCTCCCTGGACCTGCACAGTGGACGATGAGAGGGAGCCCAGTGGGGATTTCAGGACCGATGCCGCAGCTCCAGAGTCGACTAGGAATGAGACAGGTTGACCCCCAACACTGAGAGTAACCCTCGGCTCCAGGGGGTCAAGAGTCACAACGGACTTTGAGCCGGGGCACCCCTAGTCTGTATTCAAAGTCAATAACGGCTCTGCCTTCTCTTTCAGCCCACGATTAGGGCACTCAGATTTCCAATGACCCATGGCTTTGCAGTAAGCACACTGATCCCGAGCTAAAGGAGGCCTTCCCAAGCCTTTACCCTTATAGGGGCGCCCAGCGTTTGGCCCCTCCCGCCTTCCTTTCCACCCTTGCTTCTGAGCCTCCCCTGGAACCTGTGCTAAAGCTGCCACTACCGCCCTTGCGACCGTGCGAGTTTGCTTGTCTTGAGTCTCTTCACGATAGTCAAACACCCGCTTAGCCACTTCCATGAGTTCAGTCAGATTTTTACCCTCAAAACCTTCAAGTTTCTGTAGCTTCCGACGGATGTCCGGAGCTGAATTGGCTACGAAATCAATTACGATGGCTCTCCGGTTATTGGGATCCTCTGGGTCGATAGGGGTGTAGGTTCGATATGCCTCGTAGAGGCGCTCTAAGTAGGCAGCTGGGGACTCATCCTTGCCCTGTTTAACCTCACTGACTTTGGACATATTAGTTGGCTTCCGTGCTGCTGCCCGTAACCCTCCCAGCAATAACTGGCGATACCTGTCCAGTGCTTCCCTACCGCGATCAGTGTTGGGGTCCCAGTCGGGCCGGTTCTCAGGGAAGATGTGGTTGCGGCGCCCCAGGTCAGTAGAGGGATGTCCATCTGGGTCCAGAACTCCCTTCCTGGCTTCTAAAAGAATCCTGTCACGCTCCTCGGTTGTGAAAAGAACCCGGAGGAGCTGCTGGCAGTCATCCCAGGTGGGCTGATGAGTATAAAAGACAGTCTCTAGGAGGGAGATTAGGCTCTGGGGCTTATCAGAGAAGGATGGGTTTTGCTGTTTCCAATTGTACAAATCACTGGTGGAGAAGGGAACATATACCATGAACGGTCTCCCTGATTCTCCGGGAGGGGAAGGAACTTGCCGCAGGGGAAACGCTGACACAGTGGAATCTGGGGTCAAACTGGAATTAGAAGGGCCATAAGGAGCACCTGCTCGAGTATGGGGTGGACTTATCAGAGGAGGGGCTGAGGGGCTCAGAGACCCTGAGGTTGGGTACGGGGGTGGATCTGAAACCTGGGACTGGGAGTACTCAGCTGGATCTAGGGGGTCAGAATCAGGGGGTGGTAAGACAGGAGTAAGCTGCGTGACGACCTTAGGACTTTCGGGAGGCTTGCGGCTAAAGGTCGTCTTTGATTCCGTTCCTGGTCTTAGTTTTGAAAGGGCCTGGACCTGTAGTGGTCCCGAAGGGGGTTTGAAATCAATCCAGGCGGTGATATAGGGGACCTGATCGGGGTGGCCAGGTATACCATAGACAATTCCCCTGACCCGGCCGGCCACCGAGACGTCAAACGTACCCCCCGGGGGCCAGCCTACCTCGAAGGTGGGCCATTCCTGTTGGCAAAGGAGAGCTAATTTCTTTTTAGTAACCTGAAACCCATAACCTTCTGCTATACGCCGATATTGTTTGAAGTCCCGTAAGACAATAAAGAGAGGGGAGCCTGGTTTAGGGCTCGAGGGTCCTTGTCCCATGGTGGATTAAGGACTGAGAAAGAAAAGAGTAACAAATAGACGTGCTCACGTAAGCAAGGACCAAACACGGACACAGGGAAGACACAGTCAAAACAGGGTAGAGGGGAATCAAACTGCCTCAATTCCGAACGACCTAGACAATGAGACAGGAATTTACACCCCCCCTCACGGAACAAATAGTAGATAGACGCGCACACACAGTCGACACAAAAACGGAAAAAAAAGACACAGTCAAAACCCTGGATGCTCCTGACACAGTAGCGGAGAACAAACCCGTCTCAGTTCCGAACAACCTGGAGAATGAGGCAGGAAGTCTTTCTCCCCCACCCCGCCACGGAGCGCACAGTGGACACACACACACACAGTGACATCGGCGCCGGACAGACACAATCAGACAGGCAGGACTCTCACACGGCGTCCCGTGGAGGTCAGTAAGGGCGTTGCAGCTGCGTCCAGCCTGGCCACTTACTTCAGAAGAGTACTCACCAGAACAGACAGATTACAGATTGCTCTATGCCCAATTGAGGATTTGTGGTCCGGGCAGCCTGGTACGCACGGGCTATCTCAGCGTTCGGGGCCAGGGAACGTCTTCCTGGTGGCCACCCCCTGGACGGTGAGAAGCCTGGCCTTCCAGAGATGCCCGTGTCTGGTGCCCAGAGGGCGATCTCGGTGGGACCTCCAAATGAAATGGACGGGCCGAGAGTAACCAGACACACGCCAAATTAGAAAATAGAGAGCATTTACTGGAGCCGGCCGGCGACTGTCCCCTGGATGCAATCCTAGGAGAGCAGTCCCAAGCAAGGGAAATAACAAAACTTTATACCCAGCAGTTTACAGTTGTGGATTTAGCAATCCTTTGAGGTAGGGGAATTTACAATTGTAGATTAGCGATCCTTTGAGGTAAAGGAATTTACAATTGTAGATTAGCGATCCTTTGAGGTAGAGGAATTTACAATTGTGGATTAGCGATCCTTTGAGGTAGAGCAGTTTACAATTGGGATTAGCGATCCTTTGAAGTAGAAACTGAGGAGGTTAGGCTAGGGGGTTGTTTTTTTTTTTTTTTTTTTTTTTGTGACAACTCAGTCCACTTCAGTAGATGGAATTTACCATTCCTATAAGGTTAAATGGGGCAGACAGGTGGAGAAAAGGCTAGAGCATGGGGCCTGTAGAAAGACTCAACTTCCCAAGTTCAAATCTAGCCTCAAATAATCACTAGCAGTATAACCCTAGGTGGGTCACTTCCTCATATGTAAAATGAGCTGGAGAAGAAAATGGTAAAACCACTCCAATATCTTTGCCAAGAAAACCCCAAATGGGGTCATAAAGATTCAGTCATGATGAAACTACTGAACAACATAAAGTTAAATGACATAATGCATATAAAGCTCTTCCTAATCCTAAAGTGCTACATAAATGTCAGGTACTTCAAGAGGATGGAACATAGAGTATAATCTCCAAAGTCTTCAGATAACATCAAACTTTTACCACCATCCTTGGCCAGTACTGTGCTCTCCTCACTAGTGTGTCAGTCAGCACCCAAGACCCTAAGACACACTTCATAGACATCTTTCCCACACCAGCCATTTCCTTGCTATTTCTTCCACCTCCCACTGCTTTTGGAAAGGGCATTTAATGGACTCCCCAATGGCTTCACTCACAATTCCCAGTGACTTCTCAAACCAAAAGATTCTTTGTTGGTTACTTCCTTGTGTATATTGTCATCGCTTAGTTCAATCTTGGTTGAAGGTCTTTGATGTCAGAGACAGTTTTGATTTTTGTATATGTATGCCTAGCACAGTAATACCGTGCTTGGCACATAATAAACACTTAACATGCTTTTCATTCTTTCATTCATTACAGGTTACCTAAATATCAAGCCAATGGGCATGATTAGCATGATTATCTCATGAGGCTCTAAGCCTACATAAAAGTGTCATATGAATTTAAATATCAGTAATTACAAGATAACCTATATAGGGAAAAATAAATCCAAACTATACTTACAGGATGAACAAATGAATTTTTAGTTACAACCCAGGAAAGGAACCTAGCAGTCAAAATGATCCCAGTCACTACTAATTAGGGAAATGCAAATTAAAGCAATTCTGAGAATTCACCTTATACCTATTAGACTGACGAAGATGACAAAAAAGGAAAATGATAAATGTTGGAGGGGCTGTGAAAAAAACAGGCACATTGCTACACTGGTGGTGGACCTATGAATGAGTACAACCATTTGCAATTTGGAATTACACACAAAAAGTTAGTAAACAGTGTATGTCTTTTGATCCAGCTATGCTACAGCTGGACCTACACCTAAAAGAGATCAAAGAAAAAGAAAAAAGAACCTTTTCGTGCAAAAATATTTATAGAGGTTCTTTCTGTGGTAGCAGAAAAAAAACCCTGAAAACTAAGGGAATGTGCATCAACTGAGGAATGGCTGAATAAGCTGGAATTCATGAATGTGATAGAATTTAAGCTATCTCCTAAGAACAACATTGGCACAATGTACTACTGTGACTAAAAACAGAAACAAAATATGAGAATTATTCAGAAGGATATGGGAATTGAGCCACAAAACATTAACCTTCTCTAGAAGATCCCACACCTGGAAGACTGTGTAGTTCTAGTGACTATGCCTTAAGAAAGTTATTGTGAGGCTTGATTAGATCTAGAGAAGGGCAACCAAATCTATCAAGTGGAAACTAAGATACTCCAAAGGAGACAACTAAAAAATATTGATTTCTTCAGTCTGGAGAAAATAATCAATGAATAAACAATTTACTGATCACCTACTATGGGTTATAGGTACTAAGGATACAAAACTAAAAATGAACCATTCCTACTTCTATAATGGAGCTTATATTCTACTAGAATGAACTTAAATAATTCTATAAAGCAGTTTATAGTCTATGAGGTGAGAGTACATGTACATATATAACTATATATATATGATATGATATATATATATATATATCATACACATACACACACACAAAATAAGTACTATGTAGTTAAATATAAGGTCATTAGGGAGAGAGGGCACTACCAGTTGGGAGAAATGAGAGGAAAGTCCACATAGAAGAGACAAAGAGGGGATAGAATCCCAAAACCACAAATCTAAAATTGAAAAGGATCTTAAAAATCATCTGGTTCAACCTTCTCATTTGACAAAAGAGGAAATGTGTTCCAGAGATGTTTAATAACATGCACAAGGTCACACAGCTCTTTCCATCTGCCCTCATGTACTATAGCCCACATAATCCAGGTATCTGATTCTAAATCCATTACTTTAAAATCATGAAGGATGTAGATAGAATATAAAACTCAAGGAGGAAATTTAAGACAAAATAGTTCACACAGAAGGTAGCACTAGAGAAACTGGCATGCATTTACATTAATGAGTAGCATCTATAATGGGTGAGGAAAACCAAGGTGGCGTGGGTTAATATCCTTATCCTTGAGGTCTATATTAAAAAGGACAAGCATGGTCTTACCCAATAGCATTTCTTGGTGTCTCTGCTTGTGACTAAGTACGTGACCCTTAGAATCATAGAATCTTTTAATTGGAAAGTCTCCCTCCTGATGACTCATAGTTCCTAACCACCCTTTCCAGTACTAGTTGCACTTTCACTCATACCATCAGACTCACTGGTCATGGCATAGGAATTAGAATATTCCTTACTTCTCATGCCACTTTCAGATTCTCCCTCTACTGTCATCACTCAATAACTTCTCCTCCTCTGAGATTTATTCCACTGATCTAAACATATCACCCACCCCTTCCTTCTTTCCTCAAAGACTTCAGTATCTGGCTCATAGTCTTATTCCCCATCCCAACTCCTGCTCTTGTATTAGGGGGCTTCAACATTAATTAACACACATTAATGTTCCCACAAATACGCTAACTTTCCAGTTCATTAATCTATTCAATACCTATGACCTAGTCCTCCAACCCACCTCAGCTATACAGAAATGATCTTTCTCTCACCACAAGTGTCCTCCTTCGATGTTAATGAACTCCAGAATTCTTTTATCTGATGATAATCTTTTATCATTCCATCTTTTCCCCCTGCCTCATTAACCCTAACCCTATTCTATGTCCTCATTATGACTTATAATCTCTTCACCCCTATTTTTTTTTCTAGGCCATTACCACCGTTCTGGTTATAATTTCTTCCCTTGACCTCTGATAAATAAGTCCAACTCTAGACTCATGTCCTTTGCCCTCTATGACCTATAACCGAATATTCCTTGCCAGATCCGAAACCATTTTTTTTTTTACTCCTACCATATCCTACTTTCTTATATTAATATGTGATAATGATGTGCCTCTCTGTAACTGAGTAGGACTGTCTAATTAGAAGTGACTAAACTAAAATAAGCATACAACATTAAAGGTCATATTTGATCATCACACTTCACTGACAGAAAGAGGCAGCAATGAATTGGATCGGAGCCAAGATGACAGAGGGAAAGCAGTAACTGTCTTGAGCTCTCCCCCAAACCCCTCCAAATACCTACAAAAAAACGGCTCTAAACAAATTCTAAAGCAGCAGAACCCACAAAAAAGACAGTGAAACAAATTTCTAGCCAAAGACAGCCTGGATGGTTGATCTGAAAGGTATATCGCGCTGGGTGGGGAGAGGAGCGTGGTTCGGTGTGGGTGCGCAGGCCACAGCAACCCTGGAGCAGGCCTCAAGGAACTGAATCACGGGCAGCTGTGGTGGTTTCCAGACTTCTCAACCCATGAACGCCAAAGACAACTTGGAAGGTCAGTGGGAAAAGTCTATGACTGCAGTGAGAGAGGAGCTAGGTCTCAGCCACAAGTCTCGAGCATGGCCCAGGGTCACAGCTTTTTCCTGAGCTTGTAGCCCACAGACTGAGGGGGAATAGAGTGGCTGATCAGAGGGGGATTGCAGGGATCTCTTTGCCAGTGCTGAGGCAGGAATCTCTTGCTTTGCCCATGCTTGGATCTGGGTCGCAGTTCTGAGGGGCGGTACTGGGATGAGAAGGAACGCTGGTGTGGTGGAACTTGTGGTGGTGGAGAAAAAACACCTTGTCCCTTATCATAGCACCTTGGAAGAACTGAAAATTTACAGGTCCCTAGAAGTACCTCTGAAAACAGCTGTACAAACCCCTGAAGCTTGGGACAGTACATTCTTCACATTGGAAGCAGACTTTTACCTTAACAAAGAGTTTAAAACTCAAGTAATTGGCCAGGATCATGAGTAAGCAGTGCAGAAAGAGTCAGACTATATTATCTTACTTTGGTGACAAAGAAGATCAAAACATACAACCAGAAGAAGACAACAAAGCCAAAGGTCCTACATCCAAATCCTCCAAGAAAAATATGAACCAGTCTCAGGCCTTGGAAAAGCTCAAAAGGGATTTTGAGAAGCAAGTAAGAGAAGTAGAAGAAAAACTGAGAGTGATGCAAGAAAATCAGGAAAAACAAGTCAACAGCTTGCTAAAGGAGACCCAAAAAAATACTGAAGAAAATAACACCTTAAAAAATAGCCTAACCCAAATGGCAAAAGAGGCCCAAAAAGCCAGTGAGGAGAAGAATGCCCTAAAAAGCAAAATTGGCTAAATGGAAAAGGAAGTCCAAAAGAATACTGAAGAAAATACTTCCTTAAAAATTAGAATAGAGCAATTGG